TCATTCCTCATGGGGTCCGACTCAATGATATCCGATCACATGTAATTAACGAGGCTCTTGCATGATCTCGCCGAAGATTCTCATGTTCTGGGCACTCGCACAGCCAGTGCCAGAATCCAGCAACACTTTGGCTGATGTGACAAATTACTCCATCGAACAAACCGCTTAATCATGCCAGCCGCGATTGAAGAGCCGCGCCAGCGACCGCTGCGCTGTGGACACCAAACCTCTTCGAGAGCGCACGTGATGATTGGTCCAGGTCGGACTCTTGCCCTTGAAAACAAAAATACACCACCCGGAAAAAGTCGGGTGAAAAAACAATGCAGAGTACACTTGGGTGCGGAGGCTGCGGCGGGGGCAGCGGCTGCGGCGGCTGCGGCTGTGGCGGTGGCGGCGGCGGCGGCGGCGGCGGGGGCGGCGGCGGCGGACTCGCCCCCAGTAGCTGCCCATCCAAAGACGACTGCTGAATATGCTGCGGCTCGGGCCAAGCTCGGGTGCTACGTATGTGTTGGGAGGGCGGGTGGGAGTGAGCGAGACGGCTTGCGGGCGGGGAGGAAGTCTTGACCCCTCCCCCCACCCCCCCCCTCTGGACCTGGACGGGGGGTTCCGCGACGCGTTGGAGAGTCCAAAACGGCCTCGGCGAGGAAGCCAGCATCATTGGTTTTACTACGGTTTTCGTCCCACGTTGGCCTCCTGAGGGGGGGGGGGGGGGGGGGGGAATTTCGCCACCCCCAACCTGTGATCGATCTCCTCCAAAATGGCCACAAGAGGCGCCCAGGAAGCCCCAAGAGGCCCCGAGATGGCTTCAAGATGGCCCCATCCCCACGTGGCCCCCAAAAGCCCCCAAGAGGCCCCTAGGACGCCCCCAAGAGGCTCCCAAGAGACCCCCACGAGGCCCCAAGAGACCCCCCCAGAGGCACCCAAAACGCTCAAAGAGGCATCGGCGAGAATGCCAAAAGCAATGATTTGACTCAAGTTTTGGCCACATTTGGGCCTCCTGGGGGGGGGGCACTGCTTCAGATGACTCCACGAGCGCCTGAGAGAGCCCAAGATGACCTCCGAGATGGCTCAAGATATCCCAAGATGCCTCAAGATGGCTCCCACGATGCTCTCAGAGGCCCCAAGACCGCTTCAAGACGGCTCCAAGTGGCCAAAGAGCTCCCCCAGGAGGCCCCGAAGAGGCCAACATCCTTCCAAAATCTCAGGAAACTCAATGTGTTGGGCTGTCTCGCCTTTCGCTTCCGATGGCCATCCGAGGCTTCAAGATGACTCCAAGATGGCCCGAGAGGGCTCCAAGAACGCTGCCAAGGCTCCCAAGAGCGCTTCAAAAGGGCCCCAAGAGGCGCCCCGGAGGCCCCAGGGGGCCCCAAGAGGCGCCCTAAAGGCCTCCACGAGGCCCCCAAGAGACCCCCAAGAGGCCCCAAGAAGCTCTCCGAGGCACTCAAGACGCTCTAAGAGGCGCCCGGGACCGCCAAGAGGCCCCCAAGACGCTCCAGGAGGCCTCCACTGGGGGGCCCTTCCTCTGTGTGCTGCCCACTTCCCTGATCGAGGCACTTCCTCTGGGCATCGTTTCTGGATGGGTTGGTGGGATTACTTTTTTTGGTCGGCGGCTCCGAGGCAACGGACAGGGAGCGGAAGCGGCGTCCGGGTCACGGTACGGGGCTAATTTGCAAGACAATTGCCGCCAGAGTCGGCGGACAAAGCTCGCACCTGCAAGACAAACTCGCAGCTGCACGCGCACAGAACACAATGAACTAAATTCACACGGCAAACGCACTTAGGCGCAGCAGCCCGCACCGAAGTGGGCAGGCCGCCGAGAAGAATGTGCGGATGCATCGAAGTGAGTCGCCAGGGGGGCGCCAGACTCCTTGCCGACCTGCACAAGCCGAACGGCTGTGCGGTAGTAGCCGGAAACAGTGCGCGTCGGGGGGGAAAACCAAAGGCTGCACAGGCGTTGTAGGCTGAACCACTCAGCGCCCAGTCCTCAGCAATCCGCCTCCCAGTGCAAAGGGGGGCCAGCGGCTGCCCAAGGCGCAACTGTGGCGCCGTACCCTGAAGCGAGGAGGTCCGCTGGCGTGGGCAGCACCGCCGTCGGGTGGTGATGGGCGGCACACTGGTGGTGGAGACGTCTGCGCTGCCTGCCAGGGGGGTCCTGCTGCAATGAAGCTGAGGTGGCCAGCCAACCCAGACTGTCGCATGGCGCTGCCCCTGAGCCCGAGCGCCGACACACACCAGGTGTCTCCCCACAGCCGTGGAAACTGCCGCTGGGGGGGGCCAAGGAAGACCATGAGCAGCGCGTACCACGGTGCGAGCAGGGAGTGGGGGGCCACAGCCCAGCAAAGGCCGCGACGGGCGAGCCCCGAAGCCACGGGTGGGGGACACCCACCGAGCCAGGGAGGGGAGAGGCGAGGGGACACTGGTGGGGTTACGCGAAGCGTCTAGAACTCAGTTGATGAGCAGGGGCGCGCCGACGCGCTTCCCGAACCGTTCCCTACCCGACGACACCCAGAATCTGCATTGGAGCAAACTGCCGCGCACTTCACTCCGCGCCCAAGTCTGAGACGACGCGCGAGCTGTCATTGAAATTCCACCTGGTTCCCCGAAGCGAAAAAGAACCACGTCGGCAGGGGAAGCGGCCGACTGCCACGGGTGAGCGCCCAGGGTCCGCGCGCTCGGCCTCGACCCCCCACGCTGCCGGAGCGCCCGAAGAGCTGGTCGACCCTGAACCACAGGTCGCTCTCACATCCCGAGGCCGATTTTTTGGGTCCTTGGGGAAGCCTGCCAGGGGAACTCACAGCCGAAGCTTGATGCCCAGCAATCCTGGTCGGAGCGCTATCCCAGAGACACTCGGCCACCGCTGTGGGCACGAGATGCGGTGCCCGACGAAGCTCGAAGCTCATGGTACCTCGAGCCGACTGCCCCTGGATTCGGGATGACGCCAACCGCAACTGGACCAAGCCGAGAACACGCCGACGCGCGAGCCAGCACGTGTGAGAAGCCTGTCTCGAGCGGGCCTGGCATTGGGTGCGCCGCCTCAGGGGCCTGGAGGAGATGGGGGAGCGCACCTGGCCCGCGGCATATGCGCGGACAAGTGGGGGCCACCGGGCTGCGAGGGTGAAGACTGCAGCTCCCTGTTCCAGTTACAGTTCCCAGTTTCCACTGTTACAGTCCTGCTTTCTGCTTCCATGCTGTTACAAGCAGCATGTTTTACCATGCCCTGGGAGGGTTCTCAGAATTCCTGGCGGGGCGTGGGACAGGTAAAAATACATGTTACTCGCGTTCCCGAAATCCGAATCCCTTGAACATTATGCCATATTCGCGTAACCGAGGCCATAAACCATCGTCAATTACGCGAAAGTCGCGTCCCCGAAACCATAACCCCTAGTACATTGCGCGATAGTTGCGTCGCCGAGGCCATATATACTCGTAACGTTCGCAATGTTTGCGTCCCGACGCCATACACTTTCGTAAATTACTTAATGTTCGCCTTTTAAAATGACTCAATAGTTGCGTCCCCGACGCCATGTTCGCCTTCCCGAGGCTATACAGCCTCGCAAATGACACAATGTTTGCGCCCTCGAGGCCATAAACCTAAATGACTCAAACTTCCCGTCCCCGAAGCCATACAACCTCTTAAAGTATGTAGTAGTTGCGCCCTCGAGGCCATGAACCTTCGAGAATTATAAGATATTCGCGTCTCCGAAGACATACACCCTCATAAATTATACAATACGTGCACCCCCGAAGCCATAAACCCTCGCCAAGTATGCAGAATTCGCGTCCCCGCGGCCATCAACCTTCGCAAAATACACCGTACTTGCGTCACCGAGGCGACAAACCCTGGCAAATCATATGGGCCCTCGTGTAAAGTCCCGACATTGCTTCACGTCAGCGTCCAGACATCCCCACACAGCTCTGGCATGTTCCATTCTACAATATGGGGGCCGGCGGCAGAGGGCGAAGCCCTTGCGGATAATACGAATAATAAGAAGACGGAGAGAAATATGAAGGCTAAAAAGACGAGTAACAATAACAATACTAATACTCATCATAGTATCAATGCGAGAAAGACGAATAAGAAGAAGGGGGCCATACAATCCGAGAGATTCCACGGCCCTGGAGCCCTGGCCATGAGATACATCCCCAGGACGAAAGTTGTTTCCCCTTGGGCCCGGAACGACGGCTTGAAGTCTTGAGCAGACGCGTATGAGATGACCGCCGTCGGATCCCATGAAATTCGCGCGGATCCAAGGGTGGCTTTGGTGCTTGTCTCGGTGAATCCGACTTCCGTGCGCGCGGATCCGACTTCGGATTTGCTGGATCGTGATCGGTCTTATTTTTGTTCGGCGGATCCGATGTTTACCCCGTTTTGAATCTATACTATTAAATTAAAACGGGGAGCCGGAGGAAATCGGATCCGCGAACCCCGGAGCACGCCCGTGTTAAGATTCTACGGGGGAAGGGGGTTCGGTCACACTTCCAACTCATCATCGCCACTTGCACCTTAAGAGGAAAATCTTTCGTCCTGCGTAACTATCCATCCCCACCCTCCCCGGTCATCACCCCTCTCTGGGAAGCCCCTGGCAGTCGGAGCGCAAAAAAGTAAGCATCAATGCCGCGCCCACTGGGCGCCCCCGTCAGCGTGGCACCGCTGAAGAAGCGTCAGGACACTTTGGACAGATGGCGAACGAATCCAACCCCTGGTCCTCGCCCCCCTCTTGAAGCCCCTGACGGTCGGAGAGCAAAGCCTGCATCAATGCCCCCCAGGGCGACCCCGTCAGCATGGCACCGTCGAAGAAGCATCAGGACTCTGGACAGATGGCGAACGGATCTCACCCCTGGTCCTCACCCCCCTCTTGGGCGCACCCGGTGGTCGGCGTCGCCCCTGCGGGCTCGGGGCCTGCTGGGGGGGGGGGACAGAATGGGAGAGCGCCTGCCCGGCGCCGGCCGGGGCCCAGCCGCGCGCAAGGCGGCGGGCGCCGCAGAGGGGCCCCGCTGGCCTGTAGGTCCCAGTCTCCTTCTTCTTCCTGGCCATCCGCTTCTCGATGAGCGCCTTCAGCTCGGGGTTGTCCGCCTGCCCGGGGGCCGTGGGGGAGGAGGATGAAGAGGGGGAGGAAGAGGAGGAGGAGGAGGGGGAGGAGGAGGAAGAGGAGGAAGAGGAGGAGGAGGAGGAAGAGGAGGAGGAAGAGGAAGAGGAGGAGGGGGGGGCGCGAGCGGCGCGCGCGCGCGTCCAGGTGCCCACGCCCTCGCCACATATGGGTCGCCGTTGCGCGATCCCGGCGGGTGGTGCGCTCCGCGACCGGGGCGCGGGGAGGCTGGGCCGCGAGGCGTGAGGCGCTGCGGGGTCAGAGGACGTGAGGGGGCTGTGTGGCCGCCTCCCTCGCCTGCTGCGCTCAGGTCGGGCACGTCCTCCGACAGGCGGATTTCGAAAGACCAATGGAGAACAGCCACACACCAGCAAGAATGGACAAACATAGCAGAACACCCGCTCCCACACGAATCTTGCTCCAACTATGTTTGAACACTCTTGTAGAGGGACATGCTCGACCTAATTCCACGCTTGGAACAGGGCGCGGACGCCCTTGCTGTCATCCTGGCCCATGGGGGGCGCTCGACGATGGGCCCCTTGCTTTGTCCACGAGCCCCGGGCGGTCTTCGGCGGTCCTCTGGCGGTCTGCCGCGGACTTCTAGCGGTCTTCGGCGGTCTTCGTCGGTGCCCGCTGGAGTTCTACTGACGACCTACCAGGCCAACCCAACCCAACCCGAAGACCCGAATTTCGGGTTCGATGTTTCCCGACACCCCCCCACACGGGAACTGGAGGGCAAATCGGTGCCTTCGGGTTAGGCCGGGGCGTGTTTGTGGGCGGTCAACGCGAAGGGTCCGTGATCGAACACCTCACCTGTGTGCCGCCTGCTCGGCCCTGGAGGCGGTTCCAGAGTGGCGCTGGGAAAGAAGGTGCATGGGTACGCCTCCCACCCACGAGGGGCGAACGCGGGGACGAAGCACTGAAGTCGGCATCGCTGTGACGACCGCCAAGTCGGATCAGCACCTCGGCTCATCAAGGATTCCGTGGCCTCGAAGGCCCCCTCCGAAGCCAAGGTGGAGCTGGTTAGTTCAGCAGTCACAGCTCAAGGATGAGCCTACTGCAGTAATTCGCAACGAACTAGAATAGCAAACAGCATCGGTGAACAAGCATGTTCCTTGAGAAGGCGTCTCCGCTGGCTCGTGTAACTGCCACATCAATCAAACGACCAAACACTCCTGCCAGAGATCCTTCAACTCAAATACGATATTAGGGAAATCAAAAGGTACGGATACCGCTGCTCCATGGACCCCTCCCGGGGTGCGTTCTGACCAGGATTTCGAGGCGAATCCAGCGATGGCGACGATGGCATCCCAGGAGGCCCAAAAAGGGGAAAACGGGCGAAGGACAGCAATCTTTGTACCTTCTCCTCTTCTGAGATATGGTGAAGCATTGACGTGTTAAGCATGCCTGGACCAGCACCTCCTGCCAACCTCGGGGATCTACCGACCTGGGTCAACGCAAACCCGGGTCAATCAAGCGTTGCTAGCACCCCTGGCTCTGCAAAATCCTGCAAAATCTGGCGCCCTGGCTGATCCCGGTTTGGGACGCCCGACTTCTCCGGGATGACTGCGGTCTGGGACTCCGGCTTGGGCCCTCTGCAGTTAATTACCCCTGACTGCCCACGCCCTGATGATTCGGTAGAGCTGGACGTGCGAACTATCCAAGATGACTGCGGTCAGGGGTAACTCCGGCTTGGGCCCCTGAGGCGCGAATCTGTAGTTACCTCTGAGTGCCCATTGCCCTGATGATTCGGGAAGGCATGACGCGCGAATCATTCGGGATGACTGCGGTCCGGGGGCAACTCTGGTTTGGGCCCCCGAGGCGCGAATCTGTAGTTACCCCCGACCGCCCCCAGCTCTCACGCAGCGGCTTCGGCAACATGCGGAGACGTGGCGCCCAGGCCTGCAGGACGAGATGGCCAGCCTCGCGCAGTGGGTGGATGATCGCATCGACTACGTCGCGGCCGCGCTCAACGGAGCGCAGTTCGACCTGCTTTTCGGCCAACGAGCGAACGTCGCGCAGGAGACAAGGCGGATGGCGCAGGAGATCGGCAAGGCAGCCTCATCGCCGATACATCGGCGATGCATCGTCGATGCATCGGCGACACATCGGCGATGCACCGGCGATGCATCGTCGACGTGGGCGATGCATCGGCGATGTCGACTTGAAGCGAATCGGGCTCCGCATCGAGCCGCATCGCCGATGCATCGGCGATGCGGCGCGATCCTCCGACCCCATCCACTCACCGCCCCCAAGCCCAAATGATCCGGGGCTCTGACCGTTGGCATCGACCCCCGCCCTGGCCATCGCTCGGACGTCCATTCCTTGTTACCTAACAGCGAAGACTGATAGGTTTCTAGTGGGCTCAAAAGAGAGCATTCTTGACTCCCCAAGGGTGTCTGGGCGGATGCCGGGGAGAATCCGGGGACTCCCCGGGACTCCCCAGGGGGGTCTGGGCGGGTGCCGGGGAGGATCCGGGGACTCCCCAGAACACCATTCCCAGGCCACAGGTTGAATGCCCGTAACCAACTGTAGGCCACTTCGTGTTCTTCGTGTTCCCAGAACACCATTCCCAGGCCACATTTTGAATGCCCGGAGCCAACTGTAGGCCACTTCGTGTTCTTCGTATTCCCAGAACACCATTCCCAGGCCACATTTTGAATGCCCGGAGCCAACTGTAGGCCACTTCGTGTTCTTCGTGTTCCCAGAACACCATTCCCAGGCCACATTTTGAATGCCCGGAGCCAGCTGTAGGCCACTTCGTGTTCTTCGTGTTCCCAGAACACCATTCCTGTACCATATCTTGATTGCCCAGAGCCAACTGAGGGCCACTTCGTGATCTTCCTGTTCCCAGAACACCAGTCCTGTGCCATATCTTGAATGCCCGGCTGAGGCAGGCTGAGCTGAGGCAGGCTGAGGCTGAGGCTGAGGCTGAGGCTGAGGCTGCAGGCTGAGGCTGAGGCCGAGGCTGGCTGAGGCTGAGGCTGAGGCAGGCTGAGGCTGAGGCTGAGGCAGGCTGAGGCTGAGGCAGGCTGAGGCTGAGGCCGAGGCTGAAGGCAGACTGAGGCTGAGGCTGCAGGCTGAGGCTGAGGCTGAGGCAGGCTGAGGCTGAGGCTGGCTGATGCTGAGGCAGGCTGAGGCTGAGGCTGAGGCTGATGCAGGCTGAGGCAGGCTGAGGCTGAGGCCGAGGCTGAGGCAGCTGAGGCTGAGGCTGCAGGCTGAGGCTGAGGCTGAGGCAGGCTGAGGCTGAGGCTGAGGCAGGCTGAGGCTGAGGCTGAGGCTGAGGCTGATGCAGGCTGAGGCTGAGGCAGGCTGAGGCTGAGGCTGAGGCGAGGCAGGCTGAGGCTGAGGCTGCTGAGGCTGAGGCTGCAGGCTGAGGCTGAGGCTGAGGCTGAGGCTGAGGCTGCAGGCTGAGGCTGAGGCTGAGGCTGATGCTGATGCAGGCTGAGGCTGAGGCAGGCTGAGGCTGAGGCTGAGGCTGAGGCTGAGGCAGGCCGAGGCAAGCCGAGGCAGGCTGAGGCTGAGGCTGAGGCTGATGCTGAGGCAGGCTGAGGCAGGCTGAGGCTGAGACAGGCCCAGGCTGAGGCTGAGGCAGGCTGAGGCTGAGGCAGGCTGAGGCTGAGGGCGAGGCAGGCTCAGGTAGGAATCCTTAGGATTCCCTAGGAATCCTCATGAATCCCTAGGAATCCTTAGGAATCCCTAGGAATCCCGAGGAATCAGGATTCCTAAGGATTACTAAGGATTCTTAAGGTTTCCTAAGGATTCCTATGGATTCCTAAGGATGCCTAAGGATGCCTTAGGAATCCCTAGGAATCCTTAGGATTCCATTGGATCTTAAGGTCGTTGCCACTGCGACTGTCATTGCGAATGCGACTGCGGCTGCGAGAACAGCAGAATTCTACAACTGGATTCTCACCTGAATCTTGAGGGGAATGCTTCCAGATATGCTTATACACATCGCTGTTAGGTTGCTTTGCCGAGATATTGATTCATATTTTTGTTAGGTTTCGTGCGTGGTTTCTGCCACCAAATGATCCAGGATGCTCATCGATGGCCCTCGCGTCCTCGCCGAAGGAAAAAGGCACACGTCCAGGCGATGCCAGGCGCCTCAAGGCTCCCAACCAGCCCCCGCCCACCGCCCGCGGGCGGACCGTCGGCCCGCCCCCGCTCTGCCCCCGCTGGCCTCGGGCCAGCCTCCGGCTGGCCTCCGCCCACATGGGGCGAGGTGGCCGACGCCCTGGCGGCCATTCGGCTGGGACAGTCGGACTCGATTGGAGAGGACACGCGAGAGGACACAAGACCCTTCCGAGGGCCACATTGCCACAGGAATGTAAGAGGCATGGGTCGCGAGACACAGGACACGAGGGTACCCTTGATCTGGCAAGGTCGACCTACTGATCCGGGCCGCCTGTACTACGTGTCGTCGACCCGATCACATAGAAGAACCGTGATATAGCATCTCGTTTCCCGAGCGGTACGGCCAGAAAGCACCCGCCACGGAGCTTATACTAGAAGGTTTCTCGGTGCGCGCGTCGCCCCCCCCGGGGTGACGCACATATAAGAATTAGTGTGTTCGCGTGACGCCGATCGGTGGCTGCTCAGGGGAGCCAGCCACAAGCGGTGCTGTCTTGCAATCTGCGCAGTGCGATCTGGGGGGTGCAAGCACTGTCATACAATGCAGATGCATGCAGAACAGAGCCAATGCGGTCAACCCGTCTAGAAAGGCCATGCCGACCCTCTGCGGGCGGGGTGCGGCCAGCGAACGCGGCCGAGGATGGGCCGAAGGGGAGGGATGCAAAGGTAACCTTGTGAAGTCGTTCATCCTTACTATGCGAGTTGACTGCCAAAGTGCAAGTGCATGCAGTACAATATACGTGGTGCAGTCTGGCTGGTGTAGTCAATGTGGTGCAATCTAGGTTGCTGGCAACAATCTACGTGGTGCAATTCACTTTGACTGTCTTGAAGCTGTCCTCTCCACTGCTCATGCGAACATCCCACCCTCCCACCCGCGACTTGGCCGCAAGACTTCTTAAGACCGTGACTGCGGGTACCAAATGGCACTTGGCAACGACAGCGACGCCGACGACACCGACGACGTCTCCGACGACTTCGACGACGACGACAACGACGACGACGACGCCGGCGACACCGACGACAAAGACTACGACGACTACGACGCCGACGCCGACGACGACGACGATGACGACGCCGACGACGACGACGGCGACGACGACGCCGACGACGAGGACGAGGACGACGACGACGCCGACGACGACGACGAAGACGACGTCGCCATCGAAGACGACGCCGACGACGAGGGAGGAGGGAGGACGACGACGGCGACAACGACGACAATGACGAGGGAGGACGGAGGATGGCGACGACGCGAACGACGAAGGAGGACGGCGACGCCGACGACAAGAACGACGAGGGAGGAGGGAAGACGACGACGACAACGACGACAGCGACGAAATAGGAGGAACGACGACGAGACGCCGACGACGGACGAAGACGACGACAATGGAGGAGGAAGGACGACCACGGCGACAACGACGACGGAAACGACGACGACGCCAAAGAGGACGACGACGACGACGAGGAAAGACGTAGGACGACGACGGCGACGACGACGACGACGACGAGGGAGGAGGGAGGACGGCGACGACGACGACGACGCAAGAGCGCGCGCGCACGCTTTTGTTGTAAATCCGTGTTGCGAAACCATGTTGATGTATGTGTTCAGGACAGTAGAATTTGACACCCTTCCGAAACTGAAGGTTGTTTGAAGGATTTCGACATGCGCGCGCGACGACACGCGCGCGCACTTCGTCCCATGCTTTGCAAAGGATTCCCGATGGTAGTCTAGATGGTTGTCCCTATGATTGCCATCATTGACCAATCGCGAATTCGACCGAAATATGTGTATTGTGATCGACGTGTTACAGAATACCTAAAGAAGCGGGTACATAATGATACCGAAAAACGCAAAGTGTCAGAATCTGTTTCAAAAGAGCGTGTTTTTCTCGGGTACCCCTTCGGGGAAACTAACAGCGACCCGTACCTCTACTGATGGGATCAATCCCAGGGTGCGCTCTGGCCAAAACTTCGAACACAATCCCGCCGTGGCGACGAGGGTCTCCCACGACACCCAAAGTGGCGAAAACAAGGCCTGCGTAGCGACATCGCCACCTTTGCTTCCTCTGATCCGTCCCCGAGAAAAGGCGGCCCACAATGAGCTGTTCGCGCCGCGCCCTCCTCAGCTCAGCCTCGTCCTGCGGCACGCCAGGGCGCCCAGTGGAGGAAAGAGGAGGACAGGGATGATCAGCAGGAGGGAGACAGAAAGAGCAGTAGGGTGACTGGAAGAGGCGGAGGCGGCGAAAGGGGAGCAGAGGCTACAATAGCGGAGGTTGGTGGCTGGTTGCCCATGGCGCACGAGTCCACCATGGTAGTCTGGAGCGCCGTGCGCTGATCGAACGATCTCCTCTTTCTCGGCCATGTTCGACCTTTGATGCGATAGCGGGTACATCTTGCACGGCCACGCGCTGAATCGAGCCTCACACCGACGGGCCATCACCCAGCTCAGTTTCAAGATTTGGCCGCGGGCCCACCGAGCGAACCCCTGCTCCCACAGCGGTTCCATCATGACGTCGAGGAGGAGCCAATGCCTCCGCGGCGGCCCCCCGTGTCCCAGCTGTCTAGGAGGTGCAGCATGCCCTCGCTGGAGGACCCAATCCTGGGGTGTCCTGGTAGTCGAGCAGCTTGTCCATCTTGCTGGGGGCGTCGGGTTTCGCTGGCACGGCGTCGCCCATGAGCGGGCACCTGGGGCTCGAGTCCGCGATTCCCAGGATCGCGGTGTACAAAGTCAGCGAGCTGACGCATGACCTGTTCGCTTTCGGTGTACTCCTTCACCTTCTTCGCTCGGGCTCGGAGCACGTACTTCCGGACATCGTGGCTGCCTCCGCCGTCAGCTCCGATCTCTGGCGCCTGCAGGCAGTCGATGCCCTCGGCCTTCACTGAGCCAGCGTAGCAATCAAGGCCGATGCGGTCAAACACCCTGCGAACCAATGCGCGCGTGAGGCTATGCAGGAAATGCGTCCAGCGGGACTCGGCTGGGCGAGGGACTGAACTGCCGTGGAGCGCGCGCACCGTCGCGGCCATCATCTTCTCAACAGCCTGCCCCCGAGATTGGCAACAGGGCTTCATTGTGAAATCCCTGCAATGGTGGGTGAAACCCGTGCGGCTGAGGCTGCCGTTGGCCATCTGGATCAGCTCATTCAAGTCGGCAAGGAACTGCGACTCCCGCCGGTCATGGTCGCCACCTCTCGTTCGCCCCCGTCGCTTGCGGTGCTCCGCGTCGAAAACGCACGCGGCGTCGACCACGTGGCCCATGCCGTCCGTCTGATCTGGCGACGGCCCGACCTTCCGAACAAGCTGCTCGCTGATGATGCGCTCTACCCCCCCCGATGCGTCTGGAAAGCTGTCCCTTGCATCTGAAAATGATGTCATTGGACAGTGGCGAATCGCGTGCGCGCGCAACCCGCGAAGCTTGAGCCTCCCGCTGCGATGCGCGCGCGCCCCGCAGGCGTCGGGCCAGTGGAGCAATTCCTTACCCAATGCGACGGCGTGGGCAACGATGTCGTTTTCCACTTCATGCCCCACCTACGTATTACCACCACGTTGGAGATTGCCCTGTCGCACATGTGCATAAGCGCCATGCTCGATACCATGTCCGGCGCGTCATGCGCGGACGTCCGATCCATGATGTCGGCGGCCCCTGGGATGCCGCGCCGGGCGCCAGGAAGCAGCCCCCTCCTCCCTGGCGCCCTTACGTAACCTCCAGAAGCGCGGGCAAGTAATGCCCCCGAAACTGCTGCCACTGCTTCTGCCGTAGGTCTGCGAGCGCCACGCCCATCGCCCCCCGCCGCATCAACGTCGGAATTGGTATAGTCTTGCGAAGAGTCCGTCATCGCGGCGGAGGCCCCCACGCTTGCGCCGCCTCAACCTCGCCCCTCACGTAGCCCACCGCGACGTGAATTCCCCAACGCTGGCTGCCGCTGCCGGCCAGTGCGGCAGAGGCCCCCCCCACACACACACACAAACACACACACACACACACGCACACACGCACACACACACGCACACACGCACACCCGCCCACCCAACCCCGCCCCTCATGCGCGCCGCCACGGCGCGGCCATGCCGCCGCTTCAAACGCTGCACTGCTGCTGCCTCGGGCCGCCGACGGTCCGCGCCCATGCGGGTCTACTCGCAGCCCCTCATGAACGCCGCCCCGCGGCCAGCTCGAAACCAGCCGCCTGTCGAAGCCCGAGCGCGCCCAGCTCCCCCCCTTCAACAAAAGGCCAGAGCGCCAGGAACCGCCAAGGGAGCATCCGTGGACCATGAACTCTCAAGCTCAGAAGCCAGGACCCGATGAACATTTTTTTCTCAAAGGGGGGGGGGGCGGGCGCGCGGGTGCGTTTGAGGTTCGTCGAGCAGCCTTGAGCTTTCTCTTTGAGTAGATGGACACGAAGCCGATGGGATAAGTTGAGTTGCTGGAACCAACGACTGAACGTTCCTGACCACCGACTCGTGCGCCTGCTTCCCTGTCTTCGCAGAGCGGCGGTCGCGCGCGCCCGCGGTCGCCCTCCTCGCCTATACGTTCGCCCGTCCGCTGCAGTCCCTCGCGCGAGGTTGGGCGGGCGAGCGAACGGGCGAGGGGTCCGAAACCGCGGGCCCGCGAGACCCGCCGCCCAACATCGAGCTCCGCCTTGAGCTTGGCCCCGTGCTGCTTCAGCATGGCCTCCCTCGCGTTGCCAGTGTGCTGCGCCGAGCGCTGCGTCAGCTTCGCCTTCGGCAGCACCGCGTCGAACTTCAAGAACTGATCAAGCCAATCGAACTGCGACGCGCCGCCGCCGAATGCGAGGACGTCCATCGTGACACCCCGCTCGTCGCGATGCTGATCCTCGGGGCCGTGGTTGGCGAGGCAATCATCGAAGCTGGTGCCGCCCATGGTGCTGACATTGCCCACTACTGCTGTGATACTGAACGCTGGTGAGCCCACTGCTGCTGCGATATTGAAAGCTGGTGCAGAGCCCTCTGCTGCGACACTGAAAGCTGGAGCCGAAACCACTGCCACAATATTGAATGCTTGGGCCGAAGCCACAGTCACGATATCGAATGATGGTGCCGAAGCCACCACTGCTATATTGGGCGCCGGTGCCGAACTCACTGCCGCGATATCGGACGCTCGTGCCAAACCCACTGCTGCCACGGATGCTGGGGCCGAAATGCCAACTGTGATATTGAACGCTGGGGCCGGAGAAAAGCCAGCTGCGATACGGAATGCTGGGGCCGCCGAACCGCCAGCTGTGATATGGAATGCTGGGGCCAAGCCGCCAGCTGTAATATGGAAGGCTGCAAGCACACAGGCCCAGAATGAGCATAAGGATCGAAACCGCTGAAAGCTGCAAGCCAACTGAAAGATAGCTTTCTGGGCAAAAACGGCAGCGATGAACAAGGGTGAGCAAACTGATGAGCAGGGGCGTGAGGGGCCAGCACGGGTCGATCACCGACGGCTGTCGGGGAATCGATGGGGGCGGACCTGAATTGCAGTGCCCAAATACATTGCAATGCTCGCTATATTGCGGCCAACTGGTTCATCCTCTCCCTCTATCTCCAGCCCCCACCCTCCCAACCCCTTGCGAATCGGGCGATCATGGTTTTCATCGTCGGGGGGGTGCAGCCCCTCTCCAAGCGGGCCCCCGCGCTCCACTCGTTGAGGGATCACGCATCGGCGCTGGCACCCCCGTCCGCGTCCGACGCCGTGGCGCCCCCAACGCGCCAGGGCCGTTCGTCGGGCTCGCGAGGCCCAAGCCGGCTGCCCGCACGATGGTCCCCGACCCCAAACGCATCATTGTCCACCGGACCCCGCCCATCCTCCCCCCCTGCGAGACGCACGTGGCACAGTCACAATACCCATCTCATGAATTATGACCCCGCCCCCAGGAAGATAACGTGCACGCTCGAAGGTGAACGAGGAGGGGATAAGGGCAAAAGGGATGTGGGGGCAGGATGGACTTGACGAAGACGGAAGAGGAGGGCGAATGATGAGGGGGGGCCAGGTGGAGAAGATGGAGGAGGAAAAAGAACATGAGGGAGGAGAGGAGGAGGTTATAGAGGAAACGGGAAGCGGAAGAGGGACGAGGGAGGAGAAGAGGAAGGAGAGAGGCGTTAGTTGTGCGTCGCGGAGATGTATCATTCATAGCGCGACTGCGAGAGACGACACCGAGAACTCGCTTCGATAGAGCGCAAAAGTTTGGAGTCGACGAGGGAATATTCCATCCAAGACGGTCCTGCAAACAGACAGCAAAACGCTCCGCAAACACCTCTGCGTCGGCGAACCCGTCCAACAAAACGTCTACGGACCCCCATGTTGGCGTTGTGCAGTGGACATCGATCTCAGGCCAGCCCACCCACTCAAGGGAGCAGCGATATTGCGAGACAGGGATTTATCCATATCCATCGCCTGGGAACCGACGTCCTGGTGCCCCAGCGGGCGGTGGATGTGGAGATATTTTGACCCCCGAGGGCCCGAATATATCCATATCCACCGCCTGTGGAGGTCCGATAGGATCGATCCCCCAGGCTGTGGATGTGGATAAATCCCAGCCTCGGAGATATCGGCACCTGTTGGTTTCCCCAGCCACGAGGGCAGCCACGGGGGCCACCACGGGCTCTTTTACTCGGACTTGGGCCGGCGTCCAGCCTCAACTCCATTGAAAGAACGCCGAACGAATGCCTGCAGGGCCCGCCAGGGACAGACACACGGGACGAGGGTTAAGTCGGGCAAGGCCCTTGCAGGAGCAATGTTCAAAAATAGTCAAACCATATCTGGGGACGACTTTTTGTTACCATGTTTGACTCTTTTTGGATCTGTTTCGCTTTGTGCAATCTCTAATCTCAAACCCGCTTGTGAGAGGACATGCCCGACCTGAGACGGGGGACGGAGACCCCGGATCCCCAGCACGAACGAAGCCGAGCGAAAGGGCCGACCGAGAAGGCCACCGCTGGACAGCGGCGGACCAGCGGCGGGGAAGCTCGGGCGCGCGCCCGCGACGCGCCACGGGGGGACACGGCGCCGGAGGGCCACGAGGCCACGGCGGGGCAGCCCTGCGGGCCCGCGGCGGGCACACGGGCGGGGGGCAGCAGTCTGGAGCTCCTCTCTCGGGGGGCGCCAAGCTCGCCCCCTCCTCGGGTTGGTGGAGCAGCACGCTCCAGAAGGGAAGGCATGTCTGAGAATCTCGCCTGCCATGCCTGGCGCTCTCCAACTTCCACGTGTGGAGAGCGGGGGACGCATCCTTCACGCAGGAGGCCCTGACTCCTAAGAGTGCGCGTCCGTCCGTAAGATCTCGGGCACACGCTGCCGGAGATTCTAAGGATCCGCGGATCCGGCGCGCGGGCGCCAGATCCACGGATCGAGGAAAGTCATCCCCGAAACGAGAAGCCAGTGCCGCCCGATCTTGCGACGGAGCGCGCCGCTGTTGCATGGAGGCGAGGCCCAGTGCTGTTCCACGCGCCTTTCAATCCATGTTTGCCTTCCTCGACAAGTCACCACCTCACCGATACTGGCCGGGCCGACCCCAGGGTTAGGTCGGGCATGTTTTATTGCAGGCGGATTGCGGAAGATCCTTTAAAAACAGCCCAAAAATGTTCAACTAGTACTTTTGAATACTCCTCCTGTGCAATGGCATGCCGGATGTAACCCTTTGGCTAAGGAGGTCGGCGTCAAGGGGAGCGGCGGCCAAGGAGGTCGCCACAGTGACACATGGCATGAACATATAAACTCGGAGGTCCGCGCGGACCTCCGAGATTTTATGTTTATGTGATTGTTTGTTCCCCTAGATGGGGGCGGGGGGAGGGACGGAGGGCGGGAGGGAGGGATGGAGACGAGAGGGAGGCAGGGAAGAGGGAGGAGAAGTGACTGTTGTGGGACGGTTGGGGTGCCAACATTGACTACCACTAGCTTCAGGTGTGGAGGACCGACCGATATCCGAGTCCCAGCTGGCCCCGCTCTCTGCTGCCCTCCCCCTGCGCGCTGGGGATGGTTCGGGCATGACCCCTACAGGCGGATGTCTGATGATTTTTCAAGTTTTACCGCAATAAAATGAAATAAAACAGTTTTAAACAAAAAAACTCCACAACAGCCAAGCACTGTCGAACAATAGCCCCCATACTATTTTTAAAACGATGTTTGAATATTCCTCCTGTAGTAGGACACGCCCGACTGAACGTTGGGGATCTCCTCGACGGGATTGAACCTGTTGTTCGCCAGGAAGATGCTCCCGTCCTCCATGGCATCCAGCAGTGCCTGCCGCAGGGCCCGACATCTTCGCGTCGTGAAAACAGAACACGCGGCAGGAGGCGCTGAGGACATCTCGGCCCTCTGGGGCCTTCGCCCTACACCGACCAAATGCTGCCCATCATTTTGGGTTGGTTTTCGCGTGCGCTCCCCCCCCCTGCCCCATGGAGGATTCCAATATGGGTTCCGAGCAGAGTCGGGCCAGGGGCTCACGCCGCATCGCCGATACATCGGCGATGCCTCGGCGATGCAACGTCGACGTCTGCGATGCATCGGCGACGCCGACGTGAAGCAAATCGGCTGCGCATCGAATCGCATCGTCGATGCATCGGCGATGCGGCGCGATCCTCCGACCCTATCTATTCCGACCCCATCTAATTGGCCTAGACCCCACCAAAGTTCTGATGGCGGCAAGGAGCAAAGATCCGCTCGAGAGGAATGGGCGATCGACCTAACTCTGCACCGCCGAACGGCACCGGGAACACCAAGCCGTGACCAATCTGAGGTGGGGGGCGGGGGGGAATATTCGAGCATTCAGTTTCATTTCGTTTCGCGTGGCGGACAAACCTTCATGCAGCTACCCCTGATGCTATTTGCTTGTGGTACGTGCTCAGTACCCAGAGACAACGTGAATCAAACAAAATCCGCTGACCCTGTCGGCGTGTGTGGGGTGTCTGTCTGGTCCCGTCGACGGGGAGGCTTCTTTCGCCCCCTCCTCCCCATCCTCCTCTCCCGTCGGGGGGGGGGGGGAGAGAGCACCTTTCAACTTCCGGGGAATGGGTTCGCAGCTTGAGGGAAGTCCATCGTGCTCATTACGTCGAAGGGAAGCCCCTTCCTTTTGTCCCTTCCCCGGCGGGGGGGCGGTCCCGGGGGGGTCAGATTCACATCGCCTCGGGGGGTCCTCCTCTCCCACGCAGGTCCTTTACCGGCGCGCCGATCCTCCCGGGTCCTCCTCCCCAGGTGGGGAGGCGTCCCACGGGGGGGTGGGGAGTCAGATACGCATCCGTCCTTGGGGGTCCTCCTCCCCCTCCCCTTCCTTCTCCCACGCCGGTCCTCCGAAGGTCCTCCTTCCCGGGGGCGGGGGGGGCCCAGAGGGGGAGCCGTTTTCCTCCTCCTCTTCCTCCTCGTCCTCCTCCTCCTCCTCCTCGTCCTCCTCCTCCTCCTCCTCCTCCTCCTCCTCCTCCTCCTCCCTCTTATCTCCGCCTCCTCTTCCTCCTCCTCCTCCCTCCACTCCTGGTCGTCGTCGATGTCTTTCAGGGTTGGCGGCACCAGCCGTCAGGCCTGCACAATAGGAACGCGTTTCTTTATGTTCGGCGATGACGGGCGTCATGGGGGGGGGAGGGGGGCGGGGGGGTATGACGTGACGCCCCCCCCCCGCCGCGTGGCTCCGGCACCGCAGCCGCGCCCGCGCGCACGACGCGACGAGCGACGAGCGACGACGACGACGACGACGCGAGCAGCATGTAAGTGGCGATCTGCCCATTGCGTCTGTGTGCACCACAACGCTCGCGTGCACCGCACCGCGCGCGTGCACCACAGCGCCTGCGTACACCGCAACATCCGCGTGCAGCGCACCGCCCGCGTATACCACAATACTAGGGAGCACTACAGCGCGGGTGTACATACACCGCAGCAGCCTTGTGCAAAACAACGCCTGTGTACACCACCGTGCTTGCGTGCACCGCAGCGCCGGCGCACGCCACAGCGCCTGTCTACACCGCAGCATCCGCGTGCAACGCAGCGCTGGTGTACACCACAGTGCCTGCGTGCATAGGACAGGTAAAAGGAGCATGTACGTCAGGTTCTGCTGCGGACAACTAGACGCCACGCCAGGAAAATTCTGATAATCGAACGCGACGTTTTTCCCTCCCCCCTCCTCCCCCACCTCCACCTCCCCCCCCTCTTCTTCCTCCTCCTCCTCATCATCATCAAAGACATCAAAGACATGGGGATGATCCGCATGCGCCGAATCCTTGCACATTAAGATCATGCGATCTGGAAGAAATAACAAAAGACAGAAAAAGGGGAAGGGCGCGGGCCTGAACGGGTTGAACATAATGCACCTGAGGTTCAACACGTAGAACTCGAAACCGAGGTTCAGGCCCGCACCCTTTCACCTGAAGTCTTGGACCCTGCGGGAGGGGGAGAAGGAGGGAGAGAGGAGACAAAAGGGGCAAGGGGGAAAGAGGGGCCCAGCTTCAGGGTTGCGCCTGGGATTATACCTCTCAAAAGCTTGGGCCTTTCACTGCTTTTCTTTGGCCTTGCACAAAGCGCAAACAGGGGCAGGGCCTTCTGAGAGGAGAACTTCCCGCACAGCACACAGTACACAACAGGTAATCCTGAGGACTCGATTCGCGCAACATGCATGGAGTGCCATGGCCCATCTCCTTCCCTGAGAAGACGGGCGAGGGTCGGGGCAACGCGGCGCGCGGAAACGTGCTCTTATCAGAGCAGACACGGAGGCAATTGGCACACCTGTATTGGGTGCCGTCCCAAACTGGAGAGCGCTTCGGGCCAGCCTCTTTCGCTTTCTTTTGACGCGGAGGTCGGGCAAGGGGGCCGCGAACGTCCAAGTGGTGGTGGTGGTGGTGGCGGGGCGTGCGCGTGTGCGCGTGGTGTGTGTGTGTGTGTGTGTGTGTGTGTGTGTGTGTGTGTGTGTGTGTGTGTGTGTGTGTGTGTGTGTGTGTGTGTGTGTGTGTGTGTGTGTGTGTGTGTGTGTGTGTGTGTGTGTGTGTGTGTGTGTGTGTGTGTGTGTGTGTGTGTGTGTGTGTGTGTGTGTGTGTGTGAGTGTGTGCGCGTGCGTGTGCGTGTGTGTGCGTGTGTGTGGGGGGGGGGGGGTGGGGGGGGGGGGGCGCTCCTTAAGAATGTCGCAGGCACCTAAGACCAGGTGCTTATATTCCTGATAACCTCTGTCAGATAAGTGCTCCTGGGAAAATCCGTGGACGCGGGCTCCCAGGGCAGCGAAATGGTCGGCAGGCTTGTTCCCGCGTATGTGGGTCAAGTATTGCTCATCAGTTGCCTCGCTCCCCTTGCGATGAGCTTTGGCTGTAATAAGAGTGGGCCACTCATTATCGCGCAGCGCATTGGTGGCATGGCGCCAAAAGCCACGTTTGCATGGCCCCTAGGGCACTGCAATCACTCACGATCTGGGCTGTCTCTGGAGCCTCAGACCTCAGGATGGCCAGGGCGACTGCTGCGCGTTCGGCATCTGCGGAGGACTGGGGGAACTCAGCAGGGAGGGGAGAGTAGATGGCCTGCGCAAGGTGGCCATCTTCATTTACCTGAACTGCGGCTAGTCCTGCCCTGGCCAAGAAAGGGTCCGCTGGGTCTGCGCAGCTCCCATCAGTATAAATCCTAGCACCAGCCTAAAACCTGAACGGGTCGGATGGTAGACCGTCGGCCCCGACAAAACTAGGGCCCCGGTCGGGGGCAACCCCGGGCAGCTCTGGTTTGGGCTGGAACAGACGAGCAAACAACGGGTTTGTCGGACCTGCTGCTCTTTCTTCATCCAGCAGTTCTGGGCAGAAGACTTCATTTCTTTTACAGGCTCCGAATGGGCATTGCCATATCCTGTGAAGCATTGTGTCAAGGGCCCCACATGTGAGGCAAGCAGTGGGGACTTGCTATCCCCACCTTGCCAGATTCGCAGCAGTTGGCACGCTATCAGAAAGCACATGCTTAAAGAGGTGCCTGTGCTCCGCATGGATCTCTTTACTTAAACATGTGTTCCTCGCTGCTTCGATCCAATGCCCCGAAGCCTTGATCGCCAGCCCGAGGGGATGATCAAAATCTCGAAGCTTTTTGACAAACATCGATTTAAACTTCTGCTGAGTTAAACCTTGGACAAAACATTTTCTAATGGCTGCAGGTGGTACTTCCGTTAGCACAATCTTTCTACCTGCACAGGTGCACCAAACAGCAGGTTCATCCGCTGTCCAGTCTGCCACTTCAAGCCAGAGAAGCGCATCTGAAGCAGGGCGTCGAGCCCTCTCTTGCCAGGTCTTGCCACTTGTTGTGAGTATCCACTCACGTGCAGACCGAAAAGCTTGGGACAAGGTGCTTAAGGTATTATATCTGAATGAGCAATGCCAGCCAGACGTGGCTGCGTGGCTCTCCACCACTCCATGGCATATCTTTCCATCGCACCTGCTGCCAGAAACAAGCGGCCCTCTTGGCCCCGACACGAGTGCCCAGGACAGCTCCAGGGGGGGCCCCCAGACTGCTTGACTCCCATGCAACTGGCAGCTTGTTTCCGCAGGGTCTGGATCTCTGATGGTGAGAGGCCCTGAATCTGGATGATATTACAGACTGTACAGCTGCTTTAAAAAGACGTGGTTTAAGTCTCCCCGTTGCTGTAAATCTGCGCAATCTGTCAGCTCTAGCTTCAAATTTCTCCCATCTGGCAGCTCGCTTGCTCAGACGACGAACTTTCGGGAGAGGTTGCCCAGCAACGTTGTCAATCCCAAGATTAGGATGGGCATCTTCAGGGGTCCCTGCCAAATTTCCAAGGGCTAGTTGAGCTTCCTGAGTGAACTTAATGTTGCTGCCGGTTACAGGTTACAGTCATCTCCTTAGCCGAGAACGGACATCCTAAGTAAGTCTGGAGCACCGCCGACAAGGAAACGGTCAGCATCTTCATGGTGCCGATGCACAAGTCATTGGCCTCCGGCCAGGTGTGCAGCTGTAAGTCGTCGATGTGTGGACCTACTCCTGAGCTCTCGGGTTCTAGCTTCCAAGATGTTATGGTAAGCATAAGGTAGCTCTTGACCTCATATGTAGCAATTGTGGATCCAGCAATCACCCCACGGTATGGGTTAAGAGTGGGCCCGTAGGCACCATCCATGTATAAAGTACGAGGCCATATGTATGTATTCAATGTGTAGAAGATGACATATAATGGGAAGCCCGTAACGGAGGCCATGCCAATCATCTTATTGTGTAATATTATGTCATAGAACTGTACTAGCTCCCATAGTACACATAAGTAGTGAATATCTTCACCTGAACAC